TGTTTGTTGGAGTTCAGGTTTTCAGGCTCTTTCTTAGCTACAGAGTTCTTTCCAGGTTTCCCTGTCATTCTGCTGGGACCGAAAGATCCAGGAGGAACTTACAGCTGTGACTAGACTGCATGGACCCATCAGAAATGCCTGGCCCAACCTTGATCCCAGAGTCTTCACAAATGCTCACTGAAGAAAATTCCCAAGACAATTCAGAGTCCCCTCATAACTTCTCCAAAACTTTAATAAAGAATCTTAGTAAACTGACTCTCAACGCTGGCACCAATTTCCCTTCCCCTCTACCAGAAGATTTACCCCAACAACAGGCTAGAAGAGAAAGCATCTCCCAGGATATCAGAGATGGCTTGCCTTACAGGAGAAGAGGAGTAAGGACACTGTTATCTGAGCGGAAAGAAAGGCTGGCAAGATTGAGATACCTTTTACTCAACAGATTTTCTCGGCTTGAAAGACAACTAGCAGACACTGAACTTAAAGGAATTCAGAGTGAATCAAGAAGTGAACCACTCAAATGTAGGTGTAGTTTCTGCGTGTATCACAGATGGGATCCTTCTGAAAATGCTAGAATAGGGAATTATGACACCAAGCCAATTTCACCATAAACCTTATTCTTATGCTTTTGTTTTTTACTGGTAATTTTACGCAACAAGTTGAGAAAGCTACTCTTTGTTAGGATAGACTGTATAGCAATAATGTTGATAACCTATGATGAGTTCTGTGATATCTTTTTCTTGTATCTTTTCCCTATTACTTTGATAACAGTAATTTATAAGGGATCTGTGTAGCTTGAATATATTTGAGTAACTTCAGTGTACTTTAGCTCTACTTTTTGATTTCACCCAAAGAATCCTCAATAGGTTTGAAGTATTCCCATGTGTTTTAGAAACCTAAAGTGAGTGAGATAAAACTCAACATCATCAAGAATTTGAGGCAAAGTAACTTGTGGGAGAAGAATGTGAAGGAAACATTGGGTAGTTTGGTTAGAGCTGAATTATAAGATTTTCTGGTTTTTGAAAAAAATTGCAATGAAAGGAAATTTTGACATGCTGTATTTTTACTTTGTAGTAG